AGAAGACCAGGGGCACCTGGGTGGCTCAGTGGGTTAAGCCTCTGCCTTTGAATCAGGTCATGATCTCAGGGTCCTGGGATCGAGCCCCGCATCAGGCTCTCTGCTCAGCAGGGAGCTGCTTCCTCCTCTCTCTCTGCCTGCCTCCTCCTCTCTCTCTGCCTGCCTCTCTGCCTACTTGTGATCTCTGTCAAATTAAAAAAAAAAAAAATCCTTGAGAAGACCAGAGGCAGCAAACTCTTCGACCTCAACCGCAGCAAAAGGAAGATGTTTCTTGCTGGAAACATCATGAAAGGCAAGGGAAGCAAAGGCAAAAAAGGAATTATTGGGACTTCATCAAGATAAAAAGCTTTTGCACAACAAAGGAAACTGTCAATGAAACCAAAAGTCAACAGACAGAATGGGAAAAGATATTTGCAAACAACATATCAGATAAAGGGCTAGTGTCCAAAATTTATAAAGAACTTATCAAACTCAATACCCAAAGAACAAATAATCCAATCAAGAAATGGCAGAAGACATGAAGAGACATTTCTGCAAAGAAGACATCCAAATGGCCAACAGATACATGAAAAAAATGCTCCACATCACTCGGTATTAGGGAAATACAAATCAAAACCACAATGAGATATCACCTCACACCAGTCAGAATGGCTAAAATTAACAAGTCAGGAAAGGACAGATGTTGGCGGGGATGCGGAGAAAGGGGAATCCTCCTACATTGTTGGTGGGAATGCAAGCTGGTGCAGCCACTCTGAAAAACAGTATGGGATTTCCCCACAAAGTTGAATATAGAGCTATCCTATGACCTGGCAATGGCACTATTGGGTATTTACACTGAAGATACAAAAGTAGTGATTTGAAGGGGCACACACACCCCAATGTTTATAATAGCAATGTCCACAATAACCAAGCTATGGAAATAACTTAGATGTCCATTAATAGATGAATGGATAATGAAGTTATTGTGTATATATATATAATGGAATACTATGCAGCCATCAAAAAATACAAAATCTTGCCATTTGCAAGGATGTGGATGGAACTAGAGGGTATTATGCTGAGTGAAATAAGTAATTCAGAAAAAGGCAATTATCATATGATCTCTCTGATATGATGAATTTGAGAGGTAGGCATGGTGTTGTAGGGGGAAGGGAAGGAAAAAAATGAAACAAGGTGGGACAAGGGAGGGAGACAAACCATAAGAGACTCTTAATCTCAGGAAACAAACTGAGGGTTGCTGGTGGGAGGTGGAGGAGAGGATTAAGGTGGCTGGTTATAGATATTGGGGAGGTTATGTGCTATGGTGAGTGCTGTGAGTTGTGTAAGACTGATGATTCACAGACCTGTACCTCTAAAGCAAATAACATATTATATGTTATTTAAAAAAAAAAGAAGGAATTTCTTTTAAAAAAGAAAGAAAGAGAAAATAAGGACAGAATGAGGAGTTTTAAATATTGGCATAATCCAAGTATTACAGAAATCATTAAGTGTTGGTGGGAGTGACCTAAAAGACAGCAGGTTAGGCAGTATCCTATCTGATATTGAGATTATAGGGTGTAGCTTTTGAGAGTAAGGAAGTCTAAGGCATGATAATAAGGGCAAATGGTTTATGCAGAATGGAGGACAAAATCATTAGGGGAAGCACAAGTCAAAGAAGTCCATGTTGCTGGTTGTTTATCTACATAGATTTTGAAATCCCCAACTATAATACTGAAGTAATCGTCACTACAGTCTACTATCATGATACAAGAGGCCAGAGGGAGACAGAATAGTCTGGCAGCAGCAATGATCAAGGAAGACATTTACCACACATTCAGCTATTGTGGTATGATTAATGTGGGAAGAAGAATAGTGGAAGCATGGTCCTCAATTAAGTACTGCATCTCTGATGAAAGTTAATGGAAGGCACAGATAAAAGACTCAGGATGTTGCTTGTGATGATCCATGAGTTCCAGAAAACACAGTGGAAAGATAGTAGAAATTGGGGAAATGTTGGGAAAAGGACAGTATTGGGGACAGGGAATGACTAATAGAAATTAAGGTGAGGAATGAGGGTGATTGAAAGTGACAACTGATGTAGAGAGGGGTAAAGAGCAATTAAAACAGCCAGTCCTGGAAACTAGGATCCAAGAAGCCATGTGGTAAAGTAGGAACACCTATAATTATTCACCCTATTTTATGGCATAAAAACCAAAGTAGGAATCTGGAAGGACTTTCATACCAGAAATTTAATTTGTAGGAAATCACAGAATTCCTTTGTTGCTGTTCCTTTGTTAGGTTATTGCTCCCTACAACTACATCCTCAGGCAGGAATTCTGGGAAAACACAGTAAAATTAATCCCAATTTGCTGATCATTATTATTTATGTAGTTTGAATAAGGTATATTGTGTCATAACTCATGTCCATGTCTAAATGTATCTTACAATTCCAAGTTGAAACTATGTCCCCACCTAGCAATTAACATAGATTATTTTTATTGATGGGAAAGTGGCTTAAATAAGATGAAAGAGTGAGACATGGGCACCTGGGTGGCACAGTGGGTTAAGCCTCTGCCATCAGCTCAGGTCATGATCTCAGGGTCCCGGGATAGAGTCCGACATCAGGCTCTCTGCTCGGCAGGGAGCCTGCTTCCTCTTCTCTCTCTCTCTCTCTCTGCCTGCCTCTCTGCCTACTTGTGATCTCTCTGTCAAATAAATAAATAAAGTCTTTGAAAAAAAAAAAAGAGTGAGACAGAGAGACGCAAGTAAAAAAGAAAAAAGAAAGCCCTCTCCAACTGAACATACAAATAACCCAATGATGCTCCATTCAAAACCATGGGTATGACTCATTTGTACATCTATTTCCTATATTAAATGACCCCAAACATTTCTATTTTTCACACATAATTTCAACCATTTACTCCAATAGAATTTGTGGCTTGCCAGTTGCCTATCCATTTCTCACTTACGGTTTTACTTGTAAGAATACTAACTTTGTTCAGGATCATGTGCCCTGGTTAAAAAATATGACTCCTCAAACAACCATGACAGTGTCCACATGAAATATGGTTTTGTAAAATGAGACATAAAATGAGAAATATATTGGCAAGACTTCCAGGACTTCTATTGTTTTTCTTGAAAAAACAAAAACAAAAACAAAACAAAAACAGAAATGAAAGTTTGTGGTTTTCCCATCCCACCACCAACACCTCTTTCTGCCTCATCATAGTTGAGCAGAAAGGTAAAGACTTGATTTCTGGTGGCTGTGAGAAGACACCATACTAGTCCTAGGCTGCATTCCTCAGTGCTTCCACAAAATTATCAAGGTTATATAGCATACAGTCACTACAGTTTATCCTCCATGTTCTAGCTTATAGACTAAATGTTTGTGTCCCCCTAAATTTCATATGTTGAAGCCCTACCTTCCCATGTGGTGGCATTATGGGGTGGTACCTTTGGGAGATAATTAGGAATAGGTGAAGTTCATAAGGATAGAGTCTTCATGAATGAGATTAGTGCTCTTATAAGAGTCATGAGTTGCTTGCCTCCCCTCCCTGCTTCCTGCCAAGTGAGGATACAATGAAAAGTTTGGGTCTGCAATCCAGAAGAGGACTCTCACCAGAACTTGATCATGCTGACAACAGGAACCTCCAGAACATTAAGAAGTAAATTTCTATTGTTTGTAAGTCACTCATTCTATGGTATTATGTTATAGCAGCCCATGCTAAGACAGTTCAAGAACATAATTTCAGTTTTTCTTTCACTATATATGACATAAGAACTTTTAGAGATTCAAATTTTCAAGTTGGTTTTAGTATTTCTTCCATATCATAAGTTTCATTCAACATTACTACATTGTGGAGTTGTGGTCTCCTACCTCAGTCTCCCTGATTTGTTGCAAGAATGGAACTGCTTTTCCCCAAAGTGTCTAAATGATCTTTGGCATTAAATTTAGTATCTAGTACAGGAAAGGCCTTGTATTAAGAGGTGAATTTTGTAATTGAGGCAAATTTTTGACACACCGTTGACACATCATTCATATTAATGCCTACAAAACAGCATTTCCCAAAGCTCTAAATCCATGCCAGTTGAAGCTCTGCCATTTCACAAGCTAGATGTGTTTAAAACTTTCTTCTTAATAATAATAGTGTAAGCAATTGAAAAACTAAGGCTGTTAATTCCAGCTATAAGAAATGAATAACAGCATCAAGAAAAAGATATACAGGAAAGTAGATATTTTTCTAATACACAGGAATTAAGTAAACAACATTTAGGATAAGAAATAAATAATCTCAGGCGCCTGGGTGGCTCAGTTGATTAATCTACTACCTTTGGCTCAGGTCATGATCCTAGAGTCCCGCATCACGCTCCCTGCTTGGCAGGCAGTCTGCTTCTCCCTCTGACCCTCCCCCTTCTCATGCTCTGTCTCTCTCTCTCTCACAATCTCTCTCACTCTCAAATAAATAAATAAAATCTTTAAAAAAAAAAGAAAAAGAAATAAATAACCCCCTGATTTAGGCCTGCTTGCTTGCTTGCTTTCTTTCTTTCTTTCTTTCATCTTCTCCTTTTTTTTAAACATTCAAATGACACAATTTAACCTTTATTCCAATGACATAATCAGAAATCTTTTAGACCAGATAGAACAACAGTATATATTAGCTTTTACCCTCATACCTCCTATGAAAGCTATTGTACAAAGTTAGCAACTACTACAAGAAAGATGAAATATAAATTACTTTTAATTTAAATTCAATTAATTAACATATAATCTATTATTAGTTTAGACATAGAGGTCTTATATGTTATATAAGACCTTATATAATATCCAGTGCTCATTACATTACATGCCCTCCTTAATATCCAGTTACCCCCTGTTTTAAAAAACAAACAACATTATGGCTATGAAGATTTAGAAAGTCACAGGTGATAAACATCAACCCAAACATAACCCTTTGATTCTTACTAGTTTGTTTCCTATTCTGAGGCTTATATATTTTTATGGACAACTCCTTAGATTTTTACTATAGATTTTCACTTAGCCAATTCATATACTGATTTTCCATTCTATATGCAATTTTAAATCCATAATAGGAAAATGCTCCATGGAATCCATCTTCAACATGGCTATGGGTCACTGGAACTCCAGCATTCTTAAGTCGGGTGACATACATAATTCCATCATCTCTTAAGACATCATATTGACAGGTGATGATATAGGTCAATGGTAAACTTCGTAATTTATTGTCATCAGCCAACAAGGGGGCTGCCCTCACATCTAGAAACCCTGGATATTTTTTAACCAGCTCAGAACTACCATAAGTTGGACTGTTATAAACGTGTCCTTTTTAAAATTCTCAGGGAGCAGAGAACTCCAATTAATAAATTTGAACAGATGGCTTGATTCCACTGGTACATGTTGGTTGAAGAGCATAGCTTTTTCAAGTGATCTGTCCATGGTAAAGTATTCACTCCACAACCTGACCGTCATTGATTTGGACAGAGTTGGAAAATGTGAATACTCCCGATATGATGGTAAATCCATATCAAGAGTCTGAAGGGCAGGATAAATTAAAGACTGGGTCTTGAGTTTGATCTTGACATCTGGATCATCTATGAGCTGAAAATAATTTAAATGAATTGCTCAAATAGTAATTTTCATTTAAAAGATATTTTTATTTAAAAACAATAGATTGATATTAAATAAATCCAGAACCTCAAAAAGATTATTAGAAACAACAAAAAAAATCTCAAAGAACTTTCTAATTTTTGATATTATATTGAATTTTAGATATGCCTATACTTAAATTTTATGAATATAAACTGATTTGTGCTACTTTCCTTGTGGATGGAGAAAGAGATCATCTAATCCATGATTAAAAAGTAAAATATCAGGGCCCCTGGGTGGCTCAGTTGGTTGAGCAACTGCCTTCGGCTCAGGTCATGATCCTGGACTTTCAGGATCGAATTCCGCATCGGGCTCCCAGCTCCTTGGGGAGTCTGCTTCTCCCTCTGACCTTCTCCTCTCTCATGCTCTCTCTCACTCATTCTCTCTCAAATAAATAAATAAAATTTTTTTTTTTTTAAAAAAAAAGTAAAATATCTACCCTGACAACTAGGAATGACAATCAGAGGAAACATTTTTTTTGGAATAAAAAATTTAGGTACGTATATCATTATATCAATGGGCATTAACATTTAAAGGAGAGATCACATAACTAGGAATTCTATTTTGGCTCTGATACTAAACAGACAAATCCCAGGCAAAAGTCTAATTCATCTTAACATTCATGTTTTTTAAATATTCAAATTACTTTAGTGCATTAACACAAATTTATCTGTAAACTAATATGCATATATTTGGGGTATACTAGAAGTTTTTTGTTAATAGGATACACGACCAGAAATATTTGCAGACCAGGATTACTGAGCATTAGAGTTTAGCAGATGTTTTTATGTACATTTACTTGGTCTTGCAACATTGAAATGGCCCACTGTGTCTCATAGGTTAATTAACTTTTTTTTTAACTTTTTAAAAATTTAAATTCAAATAATTAACATATAATGTATTATTTGTTTCAGGGATACAAGTCTGTGATTCATCAGTGTTACATAATACCCAGTGCTCAATAACAGTGCTAATTAACTTCTCAAAGTCTGGTCTCTGGACCCTTAATATCTGTATCACCTAAGGATTTATTAGAAATTCAAATTCTTGGGTCCTCACCCAGACTTACTAAGTCTGATGGGGAGGAATCAGCAATTTGTGTTTTAACAAGTTTCTCACGTTACTCTCATGCATGCAAAAACTTGAGATCTGCTAGTATAGGTCACAAATAGTAATTATTATATACTATTAATATTAGTAATATAATAGTATTATATACTATTAATAATAGTAATTTTTTAAAAAGATTTTATTTATTTGACAGACAGAGATCACAAGTAGGCAGAGAGGCAGGCAGAGAGAGAGAGAAAGGAGGAAGCAGGCTCCCTGCAGAGCAGAGAGCCCGATGTGCGGCTCGATCCCAGGACCCTGGGATCATGACCTGAGCCGAAGGCAGAGGCTTTAACCCACTGAGCCATCCAGGTGCCCCAATAATAGTAATTATTAAAGCCATATGAACTCTGATGTTTCTGAGCAAAGTATAATGTCTAAATTGAAGTCTATTTCTAAAAACTTATTTTTAAAAACTTAATGGAGAAACAGAGCACTCTGGCATTTTTTTCCTTTGGTATACGGATGACATTTTACACACACACACACACACACACATACACTAGCAAAAGTCAATGGCAGGACTGTTTACTTATATCATTGCATTTAAAGCATGGTTAGTAATTAGATCTAGATAGTAAAATAAAATATTTATAATTCCATTACCATATTGTTTTATGTAAAAATAATTGTTTTATGTTGGGAAAATATTGAATTTAAATAATCATTTCAGTGTTTTGTCTCATGTAAGATTACCACATTCCATTTAGGTCAATATCTAGTATGAAGAACACTGTTTTCATTAGTGGAAGTATGATAATAGTTAAATAAGTAGCTAACAGGTGGCCAATTTTAGATCGAGTTAAGAAGAAATACAAAAATATTTTACATTTCACCAATAAATTGAACTTGACAGGTAGCTAAAATCTTTAAACATATGGATTTTTAAAAAACTGTCTTTGGGGATGCCTGGATAACTCAGTTGGTTAAGCTGCTGCCTTCGGCTCAGGTTATGATCCCAGCATTCTGGGATCGAGTCCCACATCGGGCTCTTTGCTCAGCAGGGAGTCTGCTTCTCTCTCCGCCTCTGCCTGCTTGTGCATTTTCTCTCTCTCTCTCTGACAAATAAATAAATAAATAAAATCTTTAAAAACAAAACAAAACAAAAAACTGTCTTTGCAGGTAAATATAAGACACATAAGATCAAGTACAGAACTTCATAAAACAGAAATGTAAAATATAACCATGTTTAAGGGTTGGGAGTTTCCCATATACCCTGAATTGACCATACATCCTTCTTCCTCCCCAGTAGGATTGCATACCTCTCTTCCTCTTTATCCTTCATTCTATGGAATTCAATAGCATGTATTTCTTTAAAACTGTACCATTTAATCAATGTAGTTTATCTGGTTAAGGACATTCCATCTATTCCTAGGGAACCAATACTGTTTTGTTTTTTAAAGATTTTATTTATTTATTTGACAGAGATCACAAGTAGGCAGAAAGGCAGGCAGAGAGAGGAAGAAGCAGGCTCCCCACTGAGCAGAGAGCCCAATGCGGGGCTCGATCCCAGGACCCCAAGATCATGACCCTAGCCGAAGGCAGGGGCTTTAACCCACTGAGCCACCCAGGTGCCCCGGAACCAATATTGTTATTGTGATTTTTACTAAATGCTTTTTCTCCATCTAGTAAGATGATATATGATTCTGCTTCCTTTATCTATTAATGTAGTGAAATTCACTTATTTTTATAAAATATGCTTTTCCTTGCATTATTAGCAACTTGGTCATGCTATATGTATGTGTGTGTGTGTATATTATTGACAGATAAACTACATTGTTTAAATGGTACAATCTTAAAGAAATACATGCTATTGAATTCCATAGAATGAAGGATAAAGAAATATATACACACACACACACACATACATACATGTATATGTGTGTGCATATATATGTGTTATAGTATATATACATTTTTTCTAATATTTTATTCATGACACTAATGCCTTAGTTTTCTGAGTATGATTGGCCCATTTTTTTCCTTCCTGAAACTGTTCTTGTTAAATTGGTCATAAAGATCGTGCTTCTCTGAAAATAATTAAAGGGTGCACAATTTTTTTCCTATCCTCTGTAATATTTTGCATTTATTTCAAGTGATTTCTCTTTGATGTTTGATGTAAATTGCTGGCAAGATTTCTCACCAGGACTGTTCTTTGTTATTGATTTGATTTGTTTAATGGTTATAAAATTGCTCAGATTTTCATTTCCTCTTGTGTCTGTTTTGCAAGTTACAAATTTTTTGGAATTTTTCTATTAAATTTAAATATTATTAAATATTTTAACTTCAAAGTTTTTCAAAATATTTCCTTCAAAGACTACAATATTCATTCTTAACTTATCAAAGGCTTATTATTTTTCATATTGAAGGGTCTACAGTATTGTCCTTTTTCAGTCCTGTTGTTAATTGTTTATGCCTGATTTTGTTCTTCTTCATTTGTATTTCCAGAGATTTAAAATTTTTATTAGAACCTTCCAAGAATTAACAAATTAACTTTTTGCTTTTTGTTCATATTTACTGTAAGCTTGGTTTTGAACATCATAATTTCTGTTCTTTCCATCACTATTATCTTCCTTCTATTATTTTCTTGAGTCAGATGCTTATTTCAGCCTTTCTTACTTTCTAATCCATGCTTTTAAAGAAATAAAATAGCCTAAAAATATCATTCAAAATGTGAAAACGTATACAAGATATATATTCTATTAAGTAATGGGTTATTATTAGGTGCCTAATGTATTTTTTATATTTCCATACAAAGAAGGCAATTTTCTTATTTGCCTTTTTCCTATTGATTTCCCAATCATTGCACTGCGGTTAAGAGTCCAACTGCATGATTTAAATCCTGTGATTTTTTTTTGAGACTTGCTTTTTGGACCAGTACTTTGTCAATTTTTTAAAATGATCACATGTATTTGCTTGTTTCCCTGTTTTTTATAGGTCCATTGAGTTAAATGTATTGATCATTATTCCAGTTCTCTATACCCTTATTATTATTCTTGCTTGCTTTCTTGATTACTGAAAGAAGTACTGTTAAATCTCTCATTATGGTTTTGAACATGTATATTTTCCCCTGGAGTTCTGTTAATATTTTCTTCATACATTTAAGGCCATGTTATTAAATCCATACAGATTTAGAGTTGTCATATTTTCCTGGTGGTTTAACCTTTTCTGTAATGATGTGATCTTCTTAACCTATCCACAATTCTTTTAGGTGTTATTTCAGGATATACATTTTACATCCATTTACTTTCAAATTTTCTGCTTATCTGTGTTTCTAATATGACAATCTTGATCCTACAAACAGATTATTTAGACCACTAACATTTACTATAATTAATAAAATAGTTGATTTTGATCCAATTTATTTTGTGACTCCTCCTTTTTCTGTTTTCTCTATTTTTTACTTCTTTCAGAATGGTTAACTTTGTAATTATTCTATTTTTTTTTCTCATCACAGTTTATAAGTTATACCATATTTTTATTCTTTGAATGATTACCCTAAGAATTATAATGTGTATTTGCAATGTCCCCAAAACAAATGAAATTATCAAAGGCCAATTCTAAGCCTTTATTTCTTTTTAGATAATAAAAAGAGCTTATAAGACTTAAAATCTGCCCTCCTCTCCACTCTTGAATTTATGGGTTTTTTTCTTATACTTTAATTCTATATATCTTATTATTTTAAAGTATCCAAATTTAAGATTTACCCAGATCTTACCATATTCTTGTTCTTTGCTTCTTCTAGTATCATAAACTTTTATCTACATTTTCATTCTGTCTGAATGATTTATTTAAACCACCTTTTAGTGTGTTCCATTTACAGCAGTTTCTGAGTTTTGGTTTATCTGAATATGCCTTTATTTCTCCTTTATTTATAAGTAATATTTTGTGCATCATAGGATTTGGTTGACAGTAAAAATTGCTACACTTTGAGAGTATTCCACTTAGAAATTGCATTCTTGTTATTAAGAAGTAAGCTATTATTGTGACTTGCACTTCTATGAGGAATTTTTTTTCCAAGATTTCCTCTATTTGATTTTTTTATATTTAAAAAAAATTAAGTAATCTCTACCCCAGTGTACTCACAACCCCAAGATTAAGAGTTGCATGCCTTACCAACTGAGACCATCAGGCACCCCTCTATTTCTTTTTGTGTCGTTGGTTGTCTACACTTTCACCTTGCTGTAACTATATGTAGATTTCTCTCTAGCTAATCATTTATTTTTAATCTTTTAAAAAAATATGTTTAAGGTTCATGTATCTTGATATCTTTCATCAGTTCTGCAAAATTCCCTACTATTATATTTTTAAGTATTCCTTTGTCCCATTCTTTCCCCTTTGCTTCTGGCATAACATTTAAAAGTCTATTGGATTTTCTTGTATTCTCTTCTGTATTTTCTATCTTTTTTGAGTTTTCCATGCTTCATTTTGCATAGTCATCCATGTTTCATATGATCCATCTTTCAGCTTATAAATGATCTCTTCAGCTATGTAAAATGACTTCAACAATTCCTAAAGTTTTTATTTTGATGTTCATTTTTTAGTTTTAGAATTTTTGTTTGTTTTTCAAAACTATTTTTCTGCTGAAATTTGCAATCATGGTTGTGAATTAATTGAAGAAACTAGGATAATTATTTTATATTCTATGGTTAATAACTGGAGTATCTGAATCTTGTTAAGTTGTCTGTTGATTCTGCTTGCTTTCCTTCATGGTTTCTTATTTACTTGTTTGTCTGGACATGTTTTATTCTGTGCTGGATACTGTTTTCAAAAATATTTTCAGGAAACATTTTAAGTCTATAAAGATACCATATTTTTCCAGGGAGGATTTTTATACATTTCTGTCAAGTATACTTGAATATCAACTGTTCACACCAACTTATTTAAGTTCAGGTATGGGAGATTTCCCCATACCATCCAGGTGATATGAAGCAAGGCTCCAAATGCACTTGAGGGTTTTTTTTTTTTTTTTGCATCACATTCTCCCTGACAGTGAGATCATATCTATTCAGGGCCTCACTTTAAAGGTCCCCATTTTTCATAGTTATCCCCATTTTTGGAGGGTCCTGGAACTTGACTTCAACTGTCTAGTTTATCTTGCTGAACAGTTTTCTTTTGATTGGCATATACCATTAGAGCAGAGAGGACTTCGAGTACTAGGCTTATCTTTGTGTTTGTTTGTTATTTTGCATCCTTAAAAAATTTTGGGCTGAGAAACTTCATATCTTATTAGCAGTTTAATGCTCTCCAGAATAGTACAAGATATTTTAACCAGATTTTTAATAATTATGGGTCAGAATTCATTGTTTCACCACTATAGAATCTAAACTCCATAAGAGGAAAGGTTCATTATGCTACACAGTAAAAAGAAATTGATGCTTGAAAAGATTAGGTTCCTTGCCCAAGGTCACAGATCTGGACATTTCTTTAGCTCCAAAAATCAATGTCTGATGATATGCCCTTTGTACTGCCTCAAGATGCCTCTCAGAGTGACAATGAGTGGACAATACAGAAGTTAATTTCTGGGAAGTAGCAGATATCTGTTCTGCAGTGTATTTATAACAAATCATAAAATTTATATCTTTCCTTTGGCTACAAATCATGAGAAGGTTATTCTGAAGGTACCAATAGCCAAAATTGATATACTTTAAAATATGCATAAAAATGAATAATACAATCAACAAAATCAACAGCAAGTTTTGTTTGATTGCATAATAAATTTGTGTGCAATATTTATGACTAGAGTTAATTACTGAATTGCAGACATTCATCTGTAAATCTACAAACAATTCTTTTTTCATACAGGAACACTGCTTTTAAGCCACCAGGGCCTGATTTATTTCTTAAGTCAGATAACTGCATCAAAAACAGTTTTACTCACTATTAGACTAAGTATGATTTTGTGTCATTTTAAAATGATAGCTAATATATGCCCAGTTTTAGCTAAATGTCATAGAAATAGTGATGGCTGATTTCTGAAAATTATAATTCCTTCTGCAAGTAAACCTGCTAAAATTTTTTGTCTATAGGCAAATTAAGAACTCTGATAACCAGTTTTCATTCAAGTTTTAGTATGCTCCATGAAGGATACTGGAATAATCTGATTCTGTAGCTATGGTGACTGGTATCATTGATTGATTTTACAAATACCAGCCCTAATAAAATGAAAGAATGTGACACTTATATGACCATATAAATTATGTTTAAACCAATGATTTTTAAAGAGCATTTTATCATTTTATTTAAAAAAGAAATCTAGCAGAAGGTAGGGGACCTGGATGGCACAATCATTTAAGTGTGTGACTCTTGGTTGTGGCTCAGGTTGCAATCTCAGGGTTGTGATATCAGGATCGTGAGATCAAGTCCCACATCAGGCTCTGCACTCAGGGGAGAGTCTGCTTAAGAGTCTCTCTCCCTCTCCCTCTGTCCTTACATCCCACATGCTCTCTCTCTCTCTCTCTCTCTCAAATAAATAAATAAATAAATAAACATTTTTTAAAAATCTGGCAGAAGGTAGGAATAAAAGCACTCAGAATATAAATGTTCCCTAATATTTATCTCTATGTATCTCTAACTTCTAACATATTAACATAATTGCTTTGATATGTTTATGTTTGAAATTGATATTTAAGTGCAAAATATTTTTTAAAAGAAGCGAACCTAAGCAACGTACCTGTTGAGTCACCGCTGCCACTAAATTCCCTCCAGCGCTGTCTCCAGAAATACCAATCCTTTCAGGATCTATACCATATTTATCAAGAACATCTTGGCTCAAGAACCACTTTAATGCATTATATACATCTTCAAACTGATTTGGAAAGTGATATTTAGGTGCTAGTCTGTAGCTGTGAACACAATAATAATGATCTTTAAGTCAATTATTTTCATTAAAAAATGTGTATCTGTGTAGAGGAGGAGGCATACTCTAACCCAAAATTCAAAAGTAAAAAAATTTTCTTTAGCAAACCTGGCATTTGGGGTCTTTATGAATCCAAAGACAAACTTTATTCCTATGATAATGTTGATATGAAAGCTCTAACAATTTTTTACATTTTTCCCATAAAGCTTGAATGCAAAACTTGGATTAAATTTAAGGGAAAAACAAAAAACAAAAAACAAAAAACAAAAAACAGGTGATCATTTCTTTTAAATAAACTTTTACCAGAATGTTATCTTCCTTGTAATTACTATGCTTTATTACTGACCAATAAATAGCAAACAAAGCTTAGGAATTATACTATTCCAGCTTAATCTAATAATCAAGTTGGCACTCAGTCACTATTACAGGGTTTTTTTCATTGTCTCTTCATTTTTCTATTTATTCTCATTGGGTTTGTTTTCTATTATTAATTATTGATCTAAAATTTTTTTGAGAATTGATTTTGCCTGTATTCCCATATGTTATTTGGTGATTAATTGTATTTAATGAAGGATTGTACCATGAAATACACTTTATTAATTACTTGAAATGCATTTTATCACCTAATCTTTAAAATAACTCTATGATATAGAAAATATTATATGACTCCCAACATACATCTGAGAAAACTGAGCTAAAATGATATTTAGCTGCCACAAAGTCATCCAATTAATCCTAGAACCAGGCTTTGAACCTGATTCTCTGACTCTGAAGCCTTCATTTTACTCACTTTCCTAATTAAGAGTAGGCTAGGGGTGCCTGGGTGGCTCAGTCAGTTAAGCCTCTGACTCTGGATATCAAGGTCGTGAGTTTAAGCCCTATGTGCAGTCTCCTTAAAAAAAAAGAAAAAGAAAGAAAGAAAGGAAGAAAGAAAAGAAAGAAAAGAAAAGAAAAGAAAAGAAAAGAAAAGAAAAGAAAAGAAAAGAAAAAGAAATATGCTAGAAATCCAGCAGAGGTCATTTGTCCCTAAAATGCAGTAGTTTAATTTTATTGTATCAATTTTTTGATTTCCTGTTTTTGATCCCCACTTGACCTAACCATACAACTCTTTTCACTCTGACTCTTTTCTGGTCATGTCAAGATCACTCTCTCTATTCTCACCCTCTCAATTTCATTTGAAACACTTCCAGCATAACCAAGGAACAACCAAGACAATTGAGAACATCTTACTGTACAAAGCATCCGGCCAAAATTTAGACAAATTAACAGTGCTCTTACTTGGCTGAAATGACAACAGCATCAAGTCTATCAGCTGTCCGTCTTGACAGGAAGTCATAACTAAACAAAGCTGAAATAAAAGAAACTAAAATCAGAAACTGACAACTGAATTGCTGAGTGTTTCCATCAGTAGAAAGCTTATCCCTATACCTTTTTCCTCACTGAAATGTTCTGGGGAAAACTTTTCTAAGATTTCATCATAGCTATAGAATATGAATTCTTCTGCTCAGTGATCCTTTTACATATGTATTGTCAGATTTCTTGTCCTTCCCCACATTTCCACACCAGATAATTTAAACCAAATTCATTTTTTTCTAGATTAATCTCTTCTCCCTTCATTCAGCAGGCATTAGGTGTTGAAAGAATAAACACATACATATTAACTCCCTGACTTTCAATAAATCACAATCTACTAGGAACAGAGGTAGAGAGGAGCAGGCATATAAGCAGAAAACAGTAATGCAAAATATGAGTTGTTTTACTTGGGGTGGAGGTACAGAAAGTGTTGTATGGAAATAGCACTTGACTTTATCAAAACAGCCAGAGAAAGATAAAGAAAAGAGAAAGTAGGGAAAGCTAAAACCTGATTTATATATTCACATTTTCAAGGCAGATAAGAAAAAACCATGTTTTGGGGGCTGGGGGGTCAGGGTTTGGCCATATGTGTGGAGTGGGGATGAGTTACACATGTTTGCTATTGGACTTGGGTAAGTGCTCCCTTTTGCAGATAAGAAAATTGTGAGAAGATGAAACAGAATTTGCCAGCAATGAGAGGAGGGAGAAATCATAAAGTGCTATGGGGGAAGTATCAGAATATGTAGTTGTCACAAACATTAAATCATGTGGGCTATGAAGAGAAGAGTAGATATTATCTTGAACTGATTCCAAAGTCAGGTGCTGAATATTCCTAAAACATCAAATACACACGAAGTTTTAAGTTTTTATCTAACATTTACTTTAAAAAGTCATTCTTGGGGTGCCTAGGTGGCTCAGTGGGTTGAGCTTCTGACTTTGGCTCAGGTGATGATCTTGGGGTTCTGGGATAGAGTCCCATGTCTGGCTCTCTGCTCAGCAGGGAGCCTGCTTCCCCCTTTCTGCCTGCCTCTCTACTTACTTGTGATCTCTCTCTCTCTGTCAAATAAATACATAAAATCTTAAAAATAAATAAATAAGTAGAAAGTCATTCTTACATTTTGGATTAGAACATAAATTTTAATGTCTTTTTAATATAAAAATAAGAAGGATCAGGAAAATATTATTTTGTTTCAGGGCTTATTCTTATTTAATTCCTCTATATTAGTAAACATACTCCCATTCTTTACAGTTCTTTGATGAAAGGACTTATAAAGAAGTACTTTGGGCAGCAGGGACTCATGAAAATGAACTAGGGCATAGCATAGTCAGATTTTGCCTTAGAAACCTCACTTCAACACCAGTTAATGATTTTACTGCCTGTATTTATAGAAGATGATAGACACAAACACAGATTTCTGCTCTGATTTACATTTCTAATCTATATCAATACTCATCAACACCTCTTTTCCTCCTGTCATAGAGAAAGTGTGTTTCTCCTCCTATGTGTTGCTAATACTTCTCTTCTGCACTAAACCCAATTTCTTCTCATATCCCTTAGATGAGGCAAACCTCAGTCCATCCTCCAGCTACCACTTATTTTTCCATCATATTTCTATTAACTGCCATCTTTATCTTCAGTTTATAAACATGTTCATAGCTCTCTTATATATAAATATAAAATGCATATAATACAAAAATATTATACATAGATAAAATATGTAATTTTACATTATATAGTAACATATACATTAAAATATTATATATTTCATATATTTATATAAACATTAAAATGCACAAAATAAACTGAAATATATATGTATATATATTTTTATATAAAATAAAGATAAAATGTCCTTACTCAACTGTGGGCTTCTTTTCCATCTAGCAACTTTCTCATTTCTTTCTTATCTAAGCTGAATGAAAGACTAGAGTCATCATCTCTATTTCCTCATTTCTCATCCACTATTCCATGTACTTCATTTTAGTTTTCAGTACAACATTCTATCATTTCTGCAATTAACAAGCTAAATAGTAAATGTCTAAGTTCATGAAACGCTTTTTCTTCGGACCTGAGATTTGCTGTAGCAAAGCATTATTCCCTTTCAGAAAGAGATCTGAAATTATTCCTTTAAACTAACATAGCTCCAAAGAAATGATTTTCAGAGAGCTTAAGTGTTATATTTTCTGGGATGTTTAACAGATATATCTCCTTGATATGTTGAAGTCAAAATCTTAATAGGATATACACTATAGGATAAATTAAGATTTTCAACAAAGGACACATACCAGCACTCCCCAAACACCAACCACCACCATGAACATAAAATAAGCCCCTTCTTAGTTTCTCTGGCTTTTGTTTTGGCACATATACACGGACAGGAATGTTGTTGAAAGTCGTCTCCATCACTGTGACATTTTCATCAGATGTGGGTGGGACTTCTTGAAGGCCCACAAAGAACATTGCAATATTTATGAAATGGTTGATTCCCAATAGCTCAGCAAACACAATCTATAAGAAAGGGGAAGGTACAACAGGTTACAAATATCAAATGTCAATGTTGTTTATGAACATAGAAGTATGCTGTATGCTCCCAACGGTCCTGTGTTGGGTTGTCACAGGTGAATCTGAATGACACAGTTAGAAATACTGGAGGTTCAGACTTTTTACCACAATTGTTGCCTCAGGAAAAAAAAAAAAAAACATTAAGAAATTACTGAGGTATTACAACTTGGCACATCCTATGCTTCCTACCTTGAATACAAAGACAAGCAGGGTGAGTTCCCTACTCTAAATAAGCTCAGAGTCAAGTGGGAGAAGGGGTTATACAGGCAGTTATAAAGCAACATGATTGCATGTCTCAATGACATGTACAATGAACTTTGGCAAAGGTCAATAGGAAGATAAACTAGTTGCCTGGACATGAGACCTGGGGAGTTTTCAAATAGTAGGTGAACTCTGTTATGAGTACTGAACTTTGATATGCAAGAGTTTTGCCAAACAAAGGAGGAACTCTCCCTTTAGGCTAAAGTTAAAGACACAGGGACACTCCTACCACTATTGCAGAATTGCAGGTAGCTTAGTAAAGCTATGAAGTCAAGTCCACACAAGGATGCATAAAAGAAAAGGGACCTCAAGAGGTGAGTGTGAACGAAACCTCGAAGGATCTATAATGTTAGAATTCAAGAATCAAAACAACTAATTTTCTAATCTTAAATTGGAAATGTGGTGATCAATCAAATAGTGGGGTCAACCTCTTTTCCATTGTACAACGGTAAAATGGGTACAAAAGGAATAAGCAAAATTATCTGTTTTCAATACTGAGTCATTCCCACATGGTTGCTGAAAGGCAGGTCAGAGAAATAATTTCCCAGAACTCCGTGCCAGATTAAATTATGCCACAAAGGCACTCCTCTAAGAATGGGAGGGCAGAAATAAAGAAAACGCCATTATTTTCTCTGAGCCCCTATGGATATTGATATGGACATTGACAGACATGTGGCTTTCCATGCCACAGTAGAAGAATTTAAGGAAAATGAGATGCTGAATTTCCCAGATATTATAAGGGAAGAAAGCCAAAGCCTTAGGGAAACAGTAATATTGGATATAATTTATTACTGAAGCCTATAACCCACCACCACACTGTGTATTTCAGCGAAGTCCAGAAGATAATCTATATATAAAGAATGGAACTCTATTATCTTAGTAAAAATACTTGCAATGATAATCATCTACTATCCAGAAATGACAGTGGAAGATTGTCCCATTGACATGGACCTTCTGATTTCAATAGGGAGGATGGAATCCCAAAGTTATAGGCCAAGTAGCAGTGATAAACTATCAGATAGAAAGCTTCTGTAGTTATGAAATGAACAGTGGTGGTAAAGTGAAACATAATCTTAGAGATCACTGTAGCAATAAAATAATCATGTCTGAAAACAATGGTAAAGCACTTGACTGAAGTCTGACTTAATCTGTATTGTTATAGTTTCTGACCCAATTTCCAGAGTTGAGACACTTCACAGACTCAGACTCCCAGAATGGAGGAAAGGCAAGGTGCCCTCAGGGGCACCCTTGCAAAACTATTACAAATATGCCCTATACATCTGCCTCCTAGTATTCCCCAAGAGAACCAAGACCTTTGGTTTGGATAAGTTAATACTGAGGGAAAGGAGAATACCCAGACTTTGGAAAGAGAATACTAGGCACTCCTTCTGAAATGGTATTAATTCCCAGAAACTCTGGAGCCACCATGGCCATCAAGCAGAGTGGAAGCTGAAGGGTATCAAGTATGAAATAGTGCTCTAGATGGATTCTCAATTAAAATGGGTCCAAGGGTGTAAATATTCATAGTTGTGTTTATTTCCCCAGTTTCTCTCAATGAATAGTTAAAATAGACATACTTGGCAACTGACAGTGTCCTTACTTGGGCTCCTTACTGCATTAGTCAAGAGGTATTATGGAATTTAGGGCCATGTAGAAACACCTGCAACTGCTCATTTCTATTGAAATAATAAAACAAAAGCAATAGTAAATCCCAGGGAATCACAAAGATTCGTGCCACAATCAAAAGATTTGAAAAATTTAGAGGTGATAATTTCTGTTGCAAGACTAAACACTAGCCAGACTCCTCTGAGTCCCCTTCTCAACTGGGCCTCAACCTTGTCCTATAAAAACTACAGACATTCAGCACAAATGACTTCATCCACCTGTTTCCCCGCGTTAGCATGCGTAAAATACTAAAAAGTTCAAGCTCAAGGTCCATCCCTAGGGTGACCCTAGATCTCCTTAAAGGCCTGCCTGAGAAAGCTCAATGCCATGGCAAAAACATACTGCTTGTCCTAGCCAACACTTGACAGATAAGGCCCCATCATCCTTTCGGAGAGTACTTGCTAAAACAAAGGCTTACAATGGTGAATTCTTTCCCTGCTTCTTTGAAATGTATACGTATCTTCTACAATTTGAGAGTGTCTTTCTCAAGGACCTGAAAGCCATTCCTTGGGAATGTAATCATTAGGAAGAACTTAGAGAATAGAATCCAAACTTCTATAATTGCCAGTGCGCCTAAATGCACGTAAAATAACCAACCCCTTGTCACTTCTCATTTTTCAACTCCTGAGTCCTCCCTTGCTCCCTTCCCTACTCCCATTCTCCTTTAAAAATATCCATTCACCTCTGTACAAACTGAAGTTGCATTCAAATAATCCTGACCCTCTTCTCTGTTGCAATAACTTATTACCGATTAAAATCTGACCTTACCACTTTAACTAGGGCCAATTTTTTTTTGTTAAAGAGTGTATCAACTATATGATTTATATAGAGGACAGATGAATATTTGAGAAAGAATTATGTTAAACTTAATCAGGTCATAATTTCGATTGCAGCTATTATTGCAGATATCTCTTTTTTTTTTTTTTTTAAAGATTTTATTTATTTATTTGACAGAGATCACAAGTAGATGGAGAGGCAGGCAGAGAGAGAGAGAGAGAGAAAGGGAAGCAGGCTCCTTGCTGAGCAGAGAGCCCGATGCGGGACTCGATCCCAGGACCCTGAGATCATGACCTGAGCCGAAGGCAGTAGCTTAACCCACTGAGCCACCCAGGCGCCCCCAGATATCTCTTTAATGGAACAAATCAACACAGCTTCTGGCTTCTAGAACACAGCTATTCATTTGAGCCTATTTCCTCTACCATTTAGCAAGGAAAGCAGTACACCGTCACTATCTTGCTACAAGTCTGTAAGAACTCTCCTGCTCCCCACATAATCTGATCTACATGGATTTCTACTATCTCTATAGGTCACAGGTCATCATACAGATCCACAACACTGTGTTTTCAATATTATAAATCGGGTGACTAGGAAATAGCAAATACTATGCATGCCTTGGTAAACCATATATGTTACAAAGGATACACAGTAAACCTCATGGAAATTTAAGGACTTGCTACTTTGGTCTCTAGGTGTTCAGAAGTCTGAGACTTCTTGGATATTATCTCCGAAGTGAAAGAAAGTTGCTCTATTTGTACCCTCACCACTAAAACAGTGGTAAAATGCTCCGTGACTCACTTCAGATTAAGGTAACAAAGTACTCCCAATTATTTATCAAGTAAGCCTAATACTCAGCCTGCTGGATTTTAGTGGGAACTAAAGACAAGAGAGTCTCTGCATCAGGTCCAGGAGGCCCTGCAAACTGCTCTGTTCCAGAGCAGAACCAAGGGTGAGTAAAGGGTCTGGGGCAACTAGGGGTGTGGTAGGGAGGTTGTGGCAAACCTTGTTAGGAGTTCAGGAACTTATGTTTTTGAGAATATCCATTCCTAATCCTCTTGCACTTACTGCAATAATGACCCTGGCTTGCTTTTAGGCACTGGTGACACATCGTACAAATTCCCAATGAGAATGCCTTACTCCTTCCCTAGTCATCTGCACCACTTTAGTCCCTTAACTTTCTCATGCTTGCCTTTACTTAAGGTCTGTGTATTACTAAAATAGAAATATATTTGTATTTAATCATATATGTGGTATATGTTTATATATCAGCATATTTATATGGCTGTGTACATGAGTACATCTATGAGTATAAATATACCACAAACACACAAACATATATATAAGTATATATCTCACACACACACATATGCGGCAAAGTCTGTTTCCTTTATGTTCAGATTTACTTTAGGACTTGGGACTTTTCTGTGTTCTCATACTCCTTCTTTCACTCCAATTGCAGTAACTGTACATCTAATTTCTTCCTTTATGCATAGTTCATCTCTGTATGTTTCAAAGACTCCAGATTCACTAAAACAAAACGGGTATCAGAAAAATAGTCATTAAAATAACCATACTTTCACATTTCAGCTATCGCGAAATCTACCATTTTACTCTCTCTTTTTGTTGTTCTCTCTTTTTTTTTTTTTAAGATTTTATTTATTTTTCAGAGCAAGGGGAGTAGCAGGCAGAAGGAGAGGGAGGAAGAGGGAAAGGGAGAAGCAGGCTCCCTGCTGAGCAAGAAGCCCAATGTGGGACTCAATCCCAGGACCCTGGGATCATGACCTGAACTGAAGACAGATGCTTAACCGACTGAGCCACCAAGGCATCCCAAGAGAATTTTCAACCTTCACAGATTATCAGTAAAAGTGAACATTCATATCAATAGCCTGTAATAAAAGGCAGAATGAAGAAAGATCTTGAATAGGGTGGTGAGGCAGGAAGAGGAAGGGGATCAATTCTAACTGACCAATATGAAGACAGTGTCTGATGGGTGCTTTTGATGTGTTAAATCTGCAAATTCTGAGTGTTTAAAATTTTTAGGTTTAGTAAGAGAGGCAAGACAATTTGATCAAAAGCCTGAAGAAAAAGAATGAAAAAGTGTTTACAAAAACCTAGAAGTTATCTAGAAGCTAACTAACCTTCTTAGGCTTTACAGTTAAATGACACTAACTTATACTGGGAAGCCCTGTTGAGATTGCATTATGGGGAGCTGTTTTCAGAACACAGTGGTCTACTTTTATATT